GGCTGCGGGCCCGGAGGAGGGAGGAGGAGGAGGAGAAGAAGAAGCGAGAGGTGAGGGGTGATGGCCGCGGCCCGGCTGGCCCCTGAGGAGCAGGACTACAACTCCCAGCGTGCACCGCGCCGCCGGGGCGCACGCGTGGAGCGGAGCGGGGCCGGGTCTCTCGTCCTGGTTCCCTCGATCCCCGGGTCCCTCGCCCCCGCCCGGCCGCGGGTGGAATGGGCAGCCAGGGACGGGCCGGCGACGTTACCGTTGTGCCCGCGGGGGTTTCCTCGCCCCTTCCCCGGGCCAGCAGGGGAGGATCTGGAGCGGGATTTGTGGGTGGTCGCCCCTGCGTGTGGCTAAGCGAGATCCCACCGAGCTGGGTGATGGGGTGGGATTGCAGGGACGGCGTCCGGCCTTCGACCCTGTAGCGACTGCGTGGGTGACAGTCCTCCTCAGCAACGCCGCTGGCTGGAAGGCGAGCGAGTTGCCGAAGGTCACGTAGGAGCTTTGCACGAAAGCCGAGGGCCGTTCAGTCCTCCACCAATGGCGTTTTGTTCTCTCCTCAGATCCCCACAGACCCGGCACAGAGACGGGTCCGGGAGCTTGCCATGCTGAGCAAACAGCTGCAGCAGGTTCACCCCAACGTCCTGGCCAAAGTGCTCAAGCAGGGAACCGTGTACCAAAACGAGGAGATTGTGGTGATCAACAAACCCTATGGCCTTCCCGTGCACGGTGAGGGAAGGACGGCCGTGCCGCATCTGTGCCTATGTGGTAGAGGGGTAAATGGAAATGGCTCCGTGGCGCTGATGGGGGATCCTCTGGCTCTGTTCTCCCTGCGCTGAGCTTTTCCTTCCCAGGGAGGGATGTGGGGAGTTTGTCACCTTTAGATCACACCCTTCGCCTCACATTTTGGGGGTACTTTTAAGGTACACATGGAGGTGAACGTCTCCCCTGACTGCCTTGCCTGTGGGTTGTGCAGGCGGCCCCGGGATCAAGAATTGTATTGCTGATGTGCTGCCGATTTTGGCCAAGATGTTGCAGAACATGAAAGCCGAACCCCTGCACCTCTGCCACCGGCTGGACAAAGAGACCACGGGTGTGATGGTGCTGGCACGGAGCAAGGAGGCAGCGGAGAGGATCCGGCTTCTCTTCAAAACTCGTCAGGTGGAGAAGATCTACTGGTAGGAAAGGTTTGGGTGGAGAAGCGGCTTTGAAGGGCCTGTAGGGTTTGAAGAAGGAGTGAAGGGACAGTCACTGGGGTGGGGGGACACGGGGCTTTGTGGAAGCAGTGGGTCTTTGCTTCTCTTTGCTCAAGTGTCTTTTTACGGGGCTGGGTCATAGGGAGAGGAGCTGAGGGGAGTCTTCCCTTCCTGCTGGAGCGACACCCCACAGACCTCTGGTTTTCCGCCCCAGGGCAATTAGCCTGGGGGACCCAGACCCCGCTGAGGGCATCGTGGAGATCCCCATCGTGGAGAAGGAGGTGCAGAGCCACCAGTCGCACTACAAGGTGAGCTGCACGTCCTCTCGGCTGCCGTTCTGGCCTGGTGCTCCCTGTCCCTGGCATCCCCTTCCTGCCTTTCTGCGGGCTCACCCTCTCGCTGTTTTTCAGATGACATTGGCCCCAAACTATCGCCTGTCTCCAGAGGATGGAAAGGTGGTGAAAATCCGCAAAAACCGCAATGCTGAAAGCGCCGTGACACGGTACCGTCTTCTGGCTAGCTCTTCTGCCTGCTCTCTGCTGGAGCTCCAGCCCATCACAGGTGAGGCCTGGCTGGAGTTGTGTCGGCTGCTGGATCCGCTTCCTGTGCAGCTCCGCAGCCAACAGCAGCGCTGGAAGCGGGAACTTGTCTTTAGATATGACTGAAATCCTTTTTGGGCCAAGGCTCTGGGAACAAGCCACCCTGGGGTGATGGTTTGCTGCTGGGCTACTCTCTGGCTGCTGGTGATTTGGGCACAGGATTATCCGGCACTGAGGGCAGCAGGTGGGAGCTGAGGCCTGGCATGGCTGGTTGTCACGTTTCTCCTCTTTCCCTTCCCTCCTCAGGGGTGAAGCACCAGATCCGCGTTCACCTGGCCTATGGCTTGGGATGCCCCATCCTGGGGGATCACAAATATTCACACTGGAGCAAGCTGGCACCCCAGGTAAGGCAGGTCCTGCATCGGGCTGGGGGGCAGCCAGAGCCGGATCCAGGGCTGGGCAGCCCCTCTGTGTCCCTGTGGGCTGGGGTTTTTAAGTCCCAGCTGAAGAGATGGGGTTGTGGAAGGGACGTTTTCTGTCCTCGCCACAGAAGCTTCCTGAAATCACCTTGAAGAGGCTGAAGCTGGAGCAGAGCAAGGCTCGCCACCTCCCCCTCCACCTCCACGCCCACCGGCTCTCCCTGCCCCTGGGCGAGCGGTTAGACCTCGTCTGCAAGCCACCCCTCTTCTTTGAAAAGACTCTGAAGAAGCTGAGGCTGGATGTACCTGACGACTAATGAGGCAGGACAGGAGCGGTACCGCCTTATCACTGCATCTCCAGCACATGGTAGCGCTGGGTCCAGCTGCTCTGCAGTGGTGTCTGCCTCGGAGCCAGTGGTGTGATGAAGTCTATGGTCTCTGCCGCTCGCCAGAGACCTCCTGTGTTGATACTGGTGTTGCTGGCTTTACACCAGGTACTTGCATGGGCTTCTTGCCCTGATTTGGTGCAGAAACATGTCCGGGCACGCTGAAGAGCCTCTTGTTGGGACAAATGAGGCTGGGTAGAAACTGGGCTTTGCCCAAGCCGTGTTTTGAACTTGTCTCTGAGCAATAAAAGATGCAGTTCCTGCCGAGGTGAAGGGTTGCCCATCTCTCTCTGCTCATGCCAGGTGGATCTCGGTCCCTAGGCGGGTTTGATCGTACCTGGGTGCAGTCCCTCCCAGTTTGAGGGCCACTGCTCTTCCCTCCAGAGCTGCTTAGCGGTCTCTCCCTCCTATTCTGGCGCTCTGTGCTCAAATTTGGAGACTCTCTTCATTCAAAAATCCATCGAAAGTGCCATTTGGCAGCGGCTGTGGGGGTTTTTTGCTGTGCTGAGAGACTGAGCGGGGAGTTCCTCCGCTGGCTTGGCCAAGCAGCTCCGGGACTCCCTCTACTCTGTGCTGCCAGCAGTGTCGGCGCGGGTTTCTGGGCACTGACTACGCTGCCAGGGGAAACTTTTCTATCCCACCGCCCCTTCCAATTTCCCCATCACTTATTTCTAGATCCTGTTATTGGGATCCGTCTCCTTCAGGAGCTTGCCTTGGAGCCAGATTCATTCCCCTGTGCCTTGAAAGAGAGGCGAGTGGAGAGATTGAAAAGCTGGGGAACGGCAGCTGATGTTCTGCCTCAAAATGGCAGCCACCAGTATTTGGTGTCCTGGCCTGTCCCCAAAAGCTCGGGGCTGGGCAGCAGGATTCTCTCTAGCCCCCCTGGCTGGTTTGGGTGCTGGAAAGGACTCTTTGTACCCCACGGGGCCACCATGTACCTGGCTGGGGCTTCTTGGTAGGGTGATGCCCTGCTGCCTGCCTCCAGCTCCTCAGGCAGGGCAAAAATAGTAATGGGCCCTCGAATGTGCCGCCAGAAATACATCTGCTTATGAGAGAGGGGCGTAAAACCACGAGGAGCCAGGGAGCAGCTGTGGCTGGGGAGGAATGCTGCCTTCCCAGCCCGGTGCTGCAGCCACTATTTTTTTTTCCTATTTCGGGACGTGCTATTTGCAAAAAGGCTTCCCTCTGTAATTACCGGTTGATTTAACGCGCCATCTAAGCTGTTATTTACAGCCGCCTGGTAAAAAGCGCTTGGCAAGTGATGTCTTCAGCCCTACAAAGTTGCTCCTCAAGCTGGTCACGCCTCAGACAACACCAGAGCCCCCGGGCAGCAGCAGCAGTTGCCGTCGTCTCCTCTTCCTCGATAGAAAAATGTCCCTCTCGCACACGGCTGCTGAGTACATGCTCTCCGACGCTCTCCTCCCGGATCCCGGTGGTTCCCGAGCCAAGGGCCTGCGGTTGGAGCTGCCGAGTGACCGCCTGCTGAAGTTCGTCACAGTGGGGCTGCCGCTCTTCCTTGTTTCACTGGCTTTCGCCCGGGAGTTCTCCACCGGTGAGTCGTGGCTTTTGCAACAGGGATCTTTGGGTCGCAGGCAATTGCCAGCAGCAGTTTGGCTGTTGCTGCAAAACCCTCGTGTTCTCACTGGTGTGGTTGCAGTCTGAGGCGGGGCAGCCTGGAAATCCTCTTTTGGGAACCATTCTGCCTCAGGGATATTTTTATTGATTGTTTTTAATGGATTATTGGTCACTGGGAAAGCCCAGGAACAGCCGTGCTAAACCCCCAGGAGCGGCGGGGTGAATCAATGCCCCGCCTCAGCTGCTTGCCCCCTGGCACCTTTGGGTGCTGCAGGGTTGTTTCCGAGGAGGAGGAGGGCGCTGGCAGGGTAGCTCAGGGAATACATCCCGCCGGGGTTTGCGAGGGCAGGACAAGAGGGTTGCATTGATGCTGTGTCGTGACCTCAGGCTAAATTTGGCTTTGGCCGATGTCCTGCTGCTGCCCCTGGGGATTTGGTTTGACTCCCATTTCTGGCCAGTCTCTAATTCCCCCCGCCATGTAGCCACAGCCACGCTCAAAGGGTTTGTGTTCGGGAAATGATGGAAAAAGTCCTTGCTGGAAAACACAGCAGTGGGGAAGGGACAGCTACAAAATGACTGTGAAAAAGGCTTTTTTAATTCAAAGTGATGCCTTAGATGTAATCACCCTCCTGTAACGCATCAGCACCTGGCTGCGGAGCGCTCGCCTGTGCTCGCTGGACCTTTGTGGCTGAGGTTCACCCTTCTCCTCCCGCTAGGCTCGCAGATCAGCTGCTTCTCTCCCACCAACTTCACAGGGAAGCAGTCTGCCTACGTCGACACGGCTTGCTGGGACTCCCTCGTCCACTATGGCTTTGACACCGAGGGACACGCCGTCACCAAGTCCCTCTGGGCTCTCAAGGTATGGGTCAAGCTCATGACTGGGTGCCCTCACGTCCCACCTGGGTGCCCAGCAGACGTGAAGCAACTCCACACTGCTCAATGCCCGCTTGTCTCCTTTGCCCAGGTCTTCCCCTACTCGCTGTTGGTGGTGGCGGTGCTCATGTACATGCCTTACCTGCTGTGGCGTTACGCGGCTGCCCCTGCCCTCCACTCCGACCTCCTCTTCATCATCGACGAGCTGGACAAATCCTACAACCGCTCCGTGCGCCTGGTGCAGCACATGAGGAAGGTCCAGCAGGCCAGCGCCGAGCCGGAGCGATTCTGGGAGGAATACGAGAGGTGAGGCCGCTGGGCAGCCTCGAGTGGTCGCCGTGTCCCTCCAAAGTCCCTCCACGTGGCATTGTGGCTGCGGCCGCAGTCGGGACGGACTTTGGTGAAGCGGCTCGGTTTGGGGGGTTGCTCTAAGTCCCTGCTGTGTCCCCTCTGCCCCCAGGGCCCGCCGGGAGAGGTACTTCGAGTTCCCATTGCTGGAGCGCTACCTCACCTGCAAGCAGCATGCCCACTCCCTGGTGTTCATCTACATCCTGAGGAACCTGCTTCTGCTCTTCTTCTTGGCTGCCACCTGCCTCTACCTGGTCTTCCTCCACCTCAACATCTTCTTCCAGGATGAGTTCAGCTGCTCCATCAAAACGGGGCTGCTCCAGGCGGAGCCCCACATCCCCCCGCTCATCCCCTGCAAGCTGGTCTTCTTCTCCGTCTTCCAGCTCATCAGCCTCTCCATTGGCGGCGTCTATGTCCTCCTCATACCTGTTGTCATCTACAACGCCCTGCAGCTCTGCCAGTGGGACAAGGGCCTGCTTGCCGTCTACGAGATGCTGCCCGCCTTCGACCTTCTCAGCCGCAAGATGCTCACCTGCCCCGTCAACGACCTCAACGTCATCCTCCTCTTCCTCCGGGCCAACATCTCAGAGCTGACCTCCTTCAGCCGCCTCAATGCCGTGAGCGCCTTGAGGGAAGCCACTGCCAACAAGCAGGACATCGATACCGTCGTCGACTTCATGACGCTGCTGGGCGGGCTGGAGACCACCAAGCCCAAACACCAGGCTTGCACCCCTGAGACCGACAGCAGCATGCCCATCTCCAACGGCGGGGTCCCAGGTAGGCTTTTTTGGTAGAGAAGCCTTCTTCGCTCTCCTCTTGGCTCCCACGCCGCCAGATCCCACCCTGAGGGTGAGGCCAGATCCCTCCACCATAGCCCTAAACCCTTTGCCAAGACCCTAAGGGTTATGGGGGGGCTGCTGAGAGGGGGCCGCTGGCTCCATTTACAGCTGGGACGTGATGCTACTGAGAGCCCACGTGTGGGCGGGAGTTGCTATAGGAACAGAAAGTGGAGAGCTTGCTGCTTAAATCCAAGCTCTGGGCAAAGTAGGGGGCCGGGGGGGTCCCCATTTTTGGCAGAGAGAGCAGCCCAGCCTGCTGGGAGAGGGGTTGGGAGCTTTAAATCCGGGGCGGGGGAGCTGATACCAAAGATGCCATGCCTGCCCCCTTCTCCTGTTGGCATGGCACTGGTGGGCACAGCGGGGCTGCGTGGGGAGACGGAGACGGGTCTCCCGAGGTAGAGCCGCAACCCTGCCCCAGGCCTGCCCATGCCCTCCCCAGGCACCACTGCTCCTTCTCCTGCATGCTTTGGGTTTTGGGGAGCCAGGGGTGCCTCTTTGCGGTCTCACGGGGATCCCCGGCTCCCACGGCAGTGGTTTCTAGGCTCTGCAAGACAGCTCGTCCCTGGCAGGGTGGGAGCGCAGGGGCCTGGGCTCCTTTCCCGGCCCTGAATACACTGTCTGAGGGCTGCGGTTTCAAAACAAAACAAAACAAACCCCAGACTGAGCTGTATTTAGCATCCTCATTGGCATGGCAACCGTGGGGCTAGCACAACTGGCTCTCGGGCTAGTTGCACACTGGTGGAGAAAGCCCAAGATCCCAGTTTGCGATCGCCCTGTTAATTAACTTCCTCGTCTTCCCTCCTTTGCCTAGAGACGAAGCCTGGAGTGGAAGTGATGGGAAAAGCCTCCCGGGACTCACTTGGCTCTGCCTGACCCCAAGAGCAGGCAGTGTGGCTGGGATCCAGTTTGATCCAATTCTTTGTTGCTAGCATTGCTTGAGCGCATTAAACTCTGATTTTGATAACAGCTCGGTGGGGTGACGTCTGTAACGCGACAGCGGCAGCCGGGCTGAGCTCACCTGCATTTAGGGTTCCCCTTCTTACGTATGTTTTTCCAGCAAAAAAGGGTTAAACAATATTTTTTTGTGCAGAGACTCTCTCAGATGTCTTATACCAAGCACTGGGTGCCACAGCGCACCTCTTCCACACCAATTTCCCTGCTGTTATGGCAGGAGGCGGGGAATGGAGGACTAAGGGATGCTCCTCTGAAGGAAAAAAAAGCCCCCAAGAATAAAAGGAGCTGTTTTATTCACTATTTATTAACACAGTGTGGTGGAAGACACTCCCTGCTGCTACAGAGCATCGTGCCCTGTGCAGCTCCATGTCCCAGCCCCAGGCTTAGCGTTGGGTTGTGGGGTTTTTTTTTTGGCAGAGCTCCCACGTCCCCTCTCTCCACCCCATAGACGGAGGCTGGTGCCTGAATCCTACGAGTAGCCTGCCATGGGGGGTCAGCAGTCTGTGCCCCGAGGTGTTGCGGGGTCCCTGGGAGGGGGGGGCCAGGACCAGCTCTGCGGGCAGGGAGGAGCAGCAGCGTGGGGGTTCAGCTCCCATCAGTGTGCCCTGCTGCTCATCTTAACATAATTTTTCATAAATTTCACTTTAAATTGGCTTTTTGATATTTTTTTTTTCCCCTGCAGCCTTGACTTCAGGCCAAAGAGGAGCTGGAAAGTTGTTTAATTAGTAAGACAGTAATCGAGCCAGCTGCCTCCCTGAATAGGAAAGGCACGGTGCCATCAGCTCCGAGCCACTCTGTGTGAGGTCTGAGCTCCCTCCTCCATCCCCCTCCCCTAAATCCCCTGGGAGAACCAGGAGCCGGGGAGGAGAAGCAGCTCCCTCCCTCCGGCTGTTTCCAAGCGCCCCAGAGTTTCCCCTGCAGGCAGGGCATCCAGGAGGAAAGGGGGTGCGGGCAGCCCCTGGCTGTTGTAGAGGGCACAGGACTGGTACTCGCAGGGCCACTCGGCCCAGGCGTAGCGCAAGCCCAGCACCAGCGTCCCACAGCCGGCCACGGCCAGCATCACCGTGCGGGACTCCACTGCCACCACGGGTGCCGGCAGCCACGTGCACGGGGACGGCTGGCTGGAGCAGCAGACCTGGGGAGGGGGAGAAACATCTGTCAAGGTGGCCTTCCCCTCTTCCAGCCCTGGGGGAAAAGCTTTTTCCCCCTCCTCACCTCGAACGCCCGCGTGTCCCTCCGACGGCAGACGAGCTCCTGGCTGTAGGTGACATTCAGCAGACCCCTGGTCACCTCCAGGATGGCACGGGTGGGATACGGCCCCTGGAAAACCAGGTCTTTCTCCCCGTACGCCACAGCCCTGGCACCCAGGTGCAGCCGGTGGGCCACGTTCTGCTTGTCCCGGGGGTGGATGCTGCCAAGGAAGAGGGGGGGCGGGGGGGTTGGTATCCGATAGCTTTGTTGCTGCCCCCTCGCCCCCCTGGCCAGGACTCGCCTGCCATAGGGAGAGCGCTCATCGCACAGATCCATCGCCACAGCCATGAAGGTGCCAGGCATCCTGGCGTTGGGGACGACCCCTAGATCAGCTGTTTGGTGCCAGCGGAGCCGGGTGAAGCTGTCGTCCAGGCTCCTCCGGCGATAGGTGGACAACTGCAAGGCAGAAAGGGTGGGGAGGGGGGGGGAGCTGCGGAAGCAGCTCAGCCATTGCTCCCAAAACCAGCCGCTGCGGTCCCTGCCTGGGATTTGGCACCCTGGCAGGATCTGTCCACAGGTTTACAGCATCGTCTCCCTCCAGCCAGCTTGGAAGTGGCCTCCAGGGTGTGAAAGGATGGGCAAAAGCTCCCTGAGCATCATGACACCATCCCCCCAGGAGGGTGGGGGTCCTGCCTCTCACCCCCCACCTCACCTGCACGAAGCCGAATGGGAGGACCGGCTCCGTCTGCCCGGCCGATCCAGCGTGGAAAGCCTGGCGCCAGTCGGCAATGAGTGCGGGGAAGGTGCAGTTGTACTGGTCTGTGTGCAGGAAGGCGTTGGCCTCTCCTGGTCCCAAAAGCAAGGGGTCGGTTAGAGCCTGGTGGGATAGCGAGGGGGGCTGCTCCACCCCAGGGAGAGGAAAATGAAGAGGGGGGGGTTTACCCTGGTACCAAGCTACACCCCGCAGCGTCATGTTGAGCAGAGGGTGGATCATGGCGTTCCAGAGCACAGAGGGCGTTTGTGGGCCGGAGAGATGCCGGTGTGGGGAGATGCTGGAAGACAAAGCTGGGCTTAAGGGAGTTGCAAAACACAAGGCCAGTCCTGAAGATGGGGCTTCAGGAGCCAGCCTTGCATGGTTAAAGCAAGCGCTGTGCAAAAGGGGAGTCCTGCTCTCCCCTCCGCCCGCTGCCACTGCCCCCTTTACACACCAAGATGCACCCTACGTTCTCGGCACGGGAGGGGATTTTACCCAGAGTGGGTAAAACGATGCCTGGAGGGGACGGTGGGGCTCCGGGGATGCTTTGGGAGAAGAGGTGGGATAGGAAGAGATGGAGGGTGACCCCCAAGAGTGGCAGGGGTGAGGCTACCCCCCCAAAAGCAGTGTGGCACAGGGCAGGAGGTATTTCTGTGTCTTCTCTCACCTTCCCATGTCCTCTGGGAGCCCACACACCTGCAGAACCCTTCGGGAGGACCAGGCCTCGATGGGGGTGCCCCCCCAGGCCGCCTCCACCAGCCCAATGGGGTACTGCAGAGCCTCGTAGAGGTAGCGCCCCAACAGCCAGCAGACGGCCGAGAAGTAGGTGAAATTCCCATGGCCCAGGTTTTCTGTGCAAGAAACAGTGGGCTGCAAAGGGAAAAAGGGGGAAAAAAAGCCGTTTCCAGGCTTTTTTTTGAAGGCACGTTGCACTTACCAGCCGTCGGGATGGACCACGGCAAGTCGATTCGCTCCAGGTCCTCCAGCTCCACGTCGGAGCGGGCGGGTGCTGCGGCGAAGACGCGGACATAGGGGTAGTGAGCGGCGGCGACGAGCTCCCGGCTGGCGTTGGCGATCTAGGGAAGGGTCGGGAGCGCGCCAGGCACTGCCCTGCCTGATCCCTGCCTGTGCTGGCAGGATGGGGCTATGCCGTGGGGGCTTACCTGCAGGACTGTCATTGCCATGTTGCTTTGCCCACTGCAAAGCCACACATCCCCAAAGTAGATGTCCTGCAGCGTCACATTCTCTGAGCCTTGCCCGGCCGTCAGCATGTAGGGACCGCCCTGATCCATAGGGTCCAGGACAGTTGTCCACGTCCCAGGAGGTCCTGGAAGAAGAGGACGGTGTTTGTCTTTCACAACCCCTATGAAGACCTAAAAACCTTCACAAAGAGGTGGGATGAGTGGCCAGCAGCTGATGGGGATGGACAGGCAATGAGGGAAAGCTTCCCCACCACGGAGCCTGGCTGGGGAAATGGATTTTGGAAGCTCTCCGCCATCAGTGGGTCTTTCCTCCTGCAGGAATTTAGGGGTTAAAAAGAAAATCTCAAAGACAAATGTGTGTCAGAGCAGAAGCTGCTGGGAGGAACCGGGATTACAGGAGCAGCTTGGTGTGTGTGACACCGAGATGTCTCCAGCTAATTTTAGAGGTGCCGAATCGAGGCGTAAAGATATTCTGCTGGAGCTTAGTGTGGATTTTCTGGCCCGGCTGGGGCCCGATCCTGCAGATCTTCCGATAACGACGGATCACTGCTCTCTCACAGGATGCCTCCAGGCTCTCCAGCCTGTGGAAGAGCCCTTTAGGCAGCAGTCTCACCCCCCTCCAAAAGTGATGAGCAGTCCCCCCTCGACTCACTAGGCAAGGAATGAGGCCACCAGCTGAGATTTGAGATGCCTCTGAGCCTTCCCAGCCTCAAGGAAGGCTCTGCCTGCAGAAGTGACATCCTTCAGGGCTTAGAGATCCCCAGCAGGATCGTCCGAGGGGGGATACATCAAAAAAAGAAGCCAGGAGTGCTCTGGAGATTTCCCCAGAGATGGTTTTGACAGGGAGAGGAGCTAAATCCCCCCCCTGCTCTCCCCTCCACAGCCTCATCATTCGGCTCAAGCCTACGCGGTGCCACCCACTCCAGCGGCAGCTCGGCTCCCGCTCGGCGCCTGTGGGATCCCACTGTTGGGAAACCAAAGTGAGCAAAGGCCGGCACTGGTGGGGAGGGGGATTGCTGAATCACTCCCCCCGCCCCACCCAGATCTCCCAGAGAAGGGGAAAGCATGGCTCTAGGGGTGCAGGAGCTGGAGACGTCACCGTCACCTCTGTAACCCCAGAGCAGTGGTGTGACAAACCCAGGGACAATGGGGCTGCGGACAGCAGCCCCCACCCCACCAGCAGGTCTGATTTGGGTTCGGATGTGCTCCTCGGCCACCAAAACCACTGGCCCCAGTTGCCCACCAAGGGTCCCGGACTGACCTTTAACTTGCACCATCTTCTTCATGACAATGAGGCCACCGTCTCTGGAGAGAGTCACGGTCACCGCAGCCCCTGGCTCCCCGTAGCCCCATACCACGGCCCCCGCTGGCTCCTTCTGCAACACCATGTGGTCGCCGTAGTAGGACGCGAAGCTGAGCATCACTCCTAGAATCAACAGACAGCGCAAACATCATCTCCAAGAGGGAAAAAGCAATGAGAAAAATCCCCCGCATGGCCTCCGACTCCCTCTTAAATACAGATTATTTGAGATCCTGCTTAATTTACAGCTTCCTTCAGTCCTGGTCAGCCTTAAGGTGGTTAAAATCACCAAAGAGCTGAGGAAGCGGCACAATTTGAAGTCCCCAAAAGAGCCCAGCCCTATGAGGGAAGTCACCTCCCAAACCACGGGAGCTTGTGTTACAGAGTTTGGATACAGATTTCGGTAAAAATTCTTCTAATAACAGCATGGGAGCATCTCTGCCAGCCCGGCCTTGGTAATAAATATGTTCCAACGTACTTTTCCTTTGCAAAAAAAGTTTGGCAAGTGGTGGGATGGGAAACACTGGCCATGTGGCACCAGCAAAGGTGCCTTTCAGCAGGGAGGGAAGCAGAGGTCTCAGCCCTGGCACCCCCAAAAGCTCCATTTTTGGGGTGTGAAAATAAAACCACGCTTGAAAAGGGGTCGGGGCAACGTTTGCATGGCATGGAGAGGCGATTTGGGGGGTGATCTCCGTTGTACCGATCAAACTGGGGCTCACAGAGCTCTGTCTCCTCTGCAGCTCATCCCAGGCTGGGTTTAATGAAGGAAAGAAACCATGTTCTCGGCCCCTCTGAAATCAGCCACATCACTGTTCCCATCATCTCATGTACCAAGGCTCCAAGAAGGACGAGTTACATAAAAAAAGGAGTCGAAGGAGAAAAGAAAAAAAAAAAAACAAGACGCCGGGGAAGAGACTGGAGGCTATAAAAAGCGGCTGGGAGGAGAGCCCACGAGACGCCGCCAAGGAGCCGCATGCGACTCCCGCCTTACGTAAAGCATCATCCCACGGCGGCAGCGACACGCCAAGGGCATTGAAGAGGGGCTGGCTGCTGCCAAGGGTGTCAAAGAGGGGCTCTAGGAGTGCAAAGGGCATCGAAGCAGAGCTCGTAGGGGTGCAAATGGCCTCGGAGCGGGGCTGGGGGATGCCAAGGACATCAAACCTGGGCAAAGGGGGATGCCAAAGGGCTGGGAGGGTGCCAAGGGCCCTGAAGTGGGGCTCAGCGTGGTGCCAAAGGCATCGAAGCAGGGCTGGGGAGGGGGGGGGAGGCCAAGAAGGGCGTCAAAACGGGGCTGG